TTATGTTTCTGATATTTAAATGACTTTTATTCAAAAAAAAATGTTATGTAAGATATTTCAAATATTATGTTTCCGAGTAGGAAATTGCAAGATCTATCAAAATCAAGAAAAAAAAATTGCGCTTTGAGTAAAAAAAATTGACTTGTCCGAGCATTTTTTCGAAAAACCAACTACTTCCATTATAATGAATTTATTCCTTTCATTTGAACCATGCTGTATATAATAATACAGGGCAGCCAGACGAAAACAACATCAACATTTTAGACAAACGTTCGGACTCGTCAACTTTTGATCAAAGGAGGACATCTTTGTATCATATTCTTAACTATTTTTTTCCACTCCATCACTCTAACCAATACAATTTAAACAGGGAAAGTACCGAGTGTGGCACATTCACCTCCACTCCATCACTCTAACCTAATCAATTTAATCTAAAAAGGAAAATTGCAAACTGTGACACATCATTGAAGAGGTAATTTTATGGATAATTCAACCATATGATTACTCATTGCAATACTCATGATTTTAGTACCCTCTAGCGGTATACAAAACTGTTACGTACTGTCAAGTCTGATACTTCATTTGAAAGATATTTTAATTCACAACATAACAAAACATAATTGAATGAAACATAAACTTAAATAATTGAAATACCTTATGGAGCTCTACATAAATTTATGGTACATTTGCGTATTAAATTATTAATAAAATTAGCTTTCAAATTAAGTTGTTTTAACTCGCTTGAGAGCGCCAAAATCAAAAATATCACAATTAATAATTATATTGTTGAATTCTCCATAAAATTATCTTATCAATGATGTGTCACAATTGGTACTGTGATGGAGGGAAAGGGAATGATGTATGAGAGTTGAGGATATCATAGAAAGTTGTTCCCTTTGATCAAAAATTGATTGGTTCGAACGTTTGTCTAAAATGTTCCTTATAATAATAATAATAATAATAATAATAATAATAATAATAATAAACTTTATTTGCAACTTCCAGTTTTTTATACATATAAAAATATTCAGAAAAAAAGTGCCAAAGAAGGCTGCAAAAAGGACTGGTGAACAGTGGATACTGATCAAAGCACCAGCCCTGAGTATTACCAACACCACAGGACATCGTACAAAAAACAATATAAATATAAACACAAATGATAGTGAGAAAAAAAAGTATAAACATTCTAAAAAGTAGCTATCACTCTGCTGTGTCAAGAAGAAACTTTTTGTAAAATTTTTTAAATTTACTTACAGACATTTCTTTAAAATGTTGTGGGATAACCTTGTACATTGCATAAATATTATAAGTGAAAGACCGTCTGAAAATAGCAGTATTATGTATTGGAGGTGAGATACGACCACAAAAACGTAGATTGAGGTTATGAACATCAGAACGATACATTATTTTATTAAAAAGATATGGAGGGGATTTATGTAAAATAACAGAATGAAACAAATTAGCCGAGTTTAAGTTTCGTCTGGATTGCATATCTAGCCAGTTTGAATCCTTGAGTTTATGAGAGACTCTATCAAATTTCCGTATTCCATAAGAAAATCTTAAACAAGATTTCTGTACTCTCTGAATTCTAATTATGTCTGCGTTATCTAAACAGGGCCCATAAACTGAATCACAAAAGTTAAAATTACTCAGAACCAGGGAATCTGTTAATAACAATTTTGTTGTAGTTGGAAGAACATGTCGATGTGGGTAAAGCATTTTTAAATTCATGTATGCTGTTTGGATGCACTTGTTAGCGTGAAGTTTAAACCTCAAGTCATTATCAATTACTAAACCTAAATTGCGAGCAGATGTGGAAAATGATAAAATATTCCCATCAACTAGAATCTGCATTTCATTTTGTAGTTGATGTCGGTATTTACCAAATAACATTACTACACTCTTAGCTGGATTAATATTAAGTTGATGAATATTTGAAAGTTTAACTAGTCTGTCAAGATCTTCATTAATATGATTATTAGCTTCTAAGGAATCATTATGATTAAAAGAAAATTTAACTTGAGTATCGTCAGCATAAAAAAATGGCTTACCATTCCTAATGCTATTCTCAAAGTTGGAGGTATATAGTGAAAATAATAATGGCCCAAGTATTGATCCCTGAGGAACTCCACAGGAAATCTGCTTAGTATTTGATGAACCTGCATCAGTAACCACAAATTGTTTCCTGTTATACAGGTAGCTATTAAAAAGTCTGATAACATCATTAGAGCAACCAATAAAATGTAATATTGAGAGTAAAATTTTATGATTAATAGTATCAAATGCTTTGGAATAATCTAGCATAACAAGTGCTGCCGTTTTTTTGACATCAATATCCCTGAAGAGATCATCAGTGACATCCAGTAAAGCTGTAGCACAACTATAGCCAGAACGAAAACCTGACTGTCGCAGTGGAAGTATTTGATTATTTTTTAAATGAATATTTAATTGAAATTTCATGATTTTTTCAATCAATGGAGCTGTCTATTTTTCATCTGGCCATCCTAAATATATATTTTTGAATACAGCTTCAAAATATTACTGGACTCGTATCAGTAAAACTACATATTTTTAAAAAATGCATACATACATAAAAACTTGAGTTTTAGAATATAAGGAAGATGAAATAATAATAATAAGATGAAAATATATCAGCATAGGGATCACGACACTCGATTTGGGATACTTGATCTCGATTAATCGACTGAAATGTTTAAAATGTATTCATGACATTCGAATAATCGTCTCGATTCGATCGCAATTTCTAGACTGCTTAGAAGGTGTAGAGTAGTGCAATTTTGAGGTTAAGTTTAAGAAACAACAACAAAAATACTTCCTATTGTTTACCAAGTTTCATTAGAAAGATAACGTCGACGAGAAAATTTGGCCTTAATAAGAGAAAGACGTTTGTTCCGACGGAACTGCGATCCTTTTCTTCTTGTGGATAGACGTTTTATTGAATTATTTCGCCTCAAAAAAGTCTTAGTTTGCGTATTAATAGACACTTTAGGACCTCATCTACATTAAAGACATGATTTTAGGGGCATATTGATTGATAATATGGTTTTATGTGCCTTAAGGTTTTATGCTACTTGTTTATATCAAAGATGTGTTGGTCAAGAGTATATTTTTGGAATTGATCAGAGTACTGTGCACAAATATGTTCATATTATCACCAATTTGATGATAGATCACGTAGTAGGCACTAAAAGAAAATAGTTCCAACTGCAAATGAACAAGATATTATTAAATTAGAGTTTTTAAATAGATAAGGATTTCCTGGTACAGTTGGTGCTTTCCTGGTACAGTTGGTGCTATAGACGAAACTCATATTGCAAAACGAAAAACGAACACGTAATCAATGCATTCACAGTCACAGGACACATAACGCAACCACAGAACATAACGCAAACTGACACGGAACATTACATTTGTCTTGGTAGTAGTTCAAATGACTTCAAAAACCGATAATAAACGAAAATCGACTCGATCGAGTTTCATGAATCCTTTTTCGAATTGCGGTCGAGTCGAACGTCGAATTGTACGATTAAGTCGAATCGAGTGTCGTGATCCCTAAGCAGAATATTTTTTAAGTAGAGGATATTAAGAACAATGATGATGTTGAAGATAAGAAGCTTCTAATTCGGAAACCACTCATGCTATGGTAGTTAGTGGAAGATGGAGAAGATATTTCAATCCATTGAAATATCAGCCACAGAAGCGAGCCGCCAGATTACTGAACTTCCGTATTCTTTCAACAGCTCAGCGGTTGATACTGCGGCCGTGTCGTGAAAGGGTGACCACTGGGAAGTGGTACTAGCATAGTAAGTAAATGGGTATGGCAGTAAAAGCTTCAAATGGTAGTACAATAATATACCTTGAGGTCCCCGTGCCACACGCTTTAGACGAATTACACCAGAGTAGACAAAATACATTGCAATCGCTACTGCATTAATTATTTCTATACTTACTATTTAAATCATTTTTACTTTTTGTATCCATTTAAATCTTGGCTACATTGAATTTTAATCCACCAAACTCAAATAGAAGCATTAAGGTTAACATAAATACAATGTAGGTATTTTCTAAGCAAAGTTCTGTAATTTAAGAGCCTATAGGACTCATTAAAACAAACACCGTGTTTAAATACTATTTTTTACAGATAATAAAAAATAACCGAATTATTGACCCTAGAAAATTGTTCAGTTGCTTAGTGAGATCCTGTAAAATGGAGTAATTAATGTATGTTAAGCTATTAGTTATAATTTGTGTTTATATAGGGTTTTATTAAACTATTTGTTTGTTATTTAAGTAAAAACGGCGCAGACAGCATTTAACCTATTTACAGAGTTCTTGGGGTAGTCTATATAAAAAAAATTTGTTTAACGGACCTGTCAGACCTGTTCGAAAGCTTTGCTAATATCAAGGACCACAATAAAGGTTTTTGATAACAAAAAATAAATCAGGGGTTAAGAATGTATTAGCGCCATTTCACATGCCACGTATGATTAACGCTGACTGACCGGATGAACTGATCATCAGTCAACTAGCTCGCGTATTTTCGAATGTTAATTACTTCATTTGATGATTCGAAAATCACTAGCAATACTCTTCGACATTACTATTTGACAAGGCTGTTGTAAATACGCGACTGACCGTCGACCATCAGGAATGTCAGGATGTATGTGAAAGTGCTCCACAAAAATTAATAGCTCTTGTTGACACTGATGCCACTGCCGGTGCAGAGTACGTAATCTGTTCTGATGGTACACACCGTATTACCGTACGCAAATTGATGCTACAACGTACTAGAGCGGACGCTGACGGTCCGCTTCACGTTTGAAAAGTCCCAAACAAATGAGACCAACTGATCGTCAGCGCTGACCATCTATCACATGTGAAACGCCACATATTGTTAACAGCCTTAGATAAGGTTTTATTTATTTTTTGTTTTTAAGCAATGGATTAATTTTTGAAAATCAACATTTTAGTGAACTTACCTGAAGACAGCCGCACCAGCCGCGCTTAGAGCGCACGGCCGGCATGGCTGGTATGTGTAATCGAGGCAGGGCGTTGGTTAAGTTATCCCACGCAGGAAGTTTTAACGAACACTTGGGAAAGCCCTGAAACAAAGAAAAATTATTTATAATTAGAAAAGAAAAAATACGTACGAAATCAGCACCTGCGCACTGAATTGGTTAAAATAGTCTTGTTACCATTCAGAGGACCGTACAAAAGTTATTCGTTGGGACAATCCTAATATTACATTAAATATATAAATTTACTCTAAATAAATACACAAGCTAAAATTATTATTTACTCAATAACTTGTTAAATTATATTCAAACGGCGCTGCACACTTATTTAAACAGTTCCCAACTCTACTCGGCCGTGGTAGAGATTACCGTTTCTTAATATTAATGATGGCAACATACATTTAAATAAAAGAATAATCTATTTGGTTCATCATTTAAATTGACATAGTTGGATATAAAGTAACCCTTGTTTTCTTTCCACCTTCGTACTCAATCCCAACCACCCACGTGCTACCCTCACCCTTACACACCCTTGATAACTACTTGTTTCAGTAGAAAATAAATATAATAATTATTTTAAATCAAGCCTATTCTAACAATAACATTAACAAACGCAAAGAACTTATACACATACTATATTTACCATTAGCTACCAATTCCACAATTTGCGATTATTTGCAACGGCTTTCTTCCGGAAAGTAATTCAAAAAAACCCGTACGATACTTCTTCTCTCCTTCAACTCTGCATCGTAATGGTAATAAAGATTAGTTTTACATTCTAAGTGAGGATAATAATGATGAAGAACAACGCCTTTAGATGATGGAAGATCCACATTATGTGTGCCCTAACGGCGAAGCAGAATTCTCTTGAAATCACCACTCTCTCATATTATAGTAATTTTCGAAGGATTGTTACAGAATTTTTGCCACTTCTAGAGGTTTGTTATTCGTTACTAATCACCAATCAGCAATTACGAGGGTTATAGTAAAATTATTTTGGTGCAATGATTACAATGAGAAATTTTCCACTTTCTTTATAAATAATTTCATATTTGTTAATTATTTCATTTTTATTGACGATTTATTTATATTTAATAATTATTTTTTTATTATTCGACTATTTCTTAAATACTTTTTAAATTTTAATGTTAATTGGCATAGAAGATCAAATTATATGTTCAGGTAAATTAATTTAATTTATTTAATTGATATACTTGATTTATTTTACTAAAATTCCTACCACACATTGTCAAAACAATACCTCAATATTAAAAATGTTGTACTTATTTTATAATGTTCAAATGTATTCTCAGTTATTAGGCAGGTTTAAAAATGTCATACTCCAATCATAAGTTACGGTTTTAATTAAACTGTAATCGATATTAAAACAAATAAATGAATTTAAACATTGTTGGTGCATTTATTTACATAACACAATATCGTATTCTATTTCTTCCCCTTTTATCATTCACTTTTCATTCGTCCCTCTCTTGTATCATATTTCTTTTATATCTTATTTTCACTTTGACGTACCTTTATAATTTAATTTAGATTTTTGTGAACATAAACTAAGCCATAACCATATTTACATTCGGTACAATTAACCTTGCATTTTCGATAGTTACTGTACGAAACTTAACAGACTTTTTCTTAAATGTAATTATTATAAAGGATATCCTAGATGAAACAAACTCTGAAAACTTTGTACATATTTTCATTTATAAACATAATGAGAGTCTCCAGGAATTCGAGGCAGACATAAGAAGATTGATTTATCTGGCCTATCCACAAGCGCCCAAAGATTTCCAAGAACAAATCGAAAACCAGGCATTCATTGATGGACTACAAGATGTGGAAATGCAGCAAGCCCTTCGTCTACAACATCACAAGACGCTGAGGGAGAAACTGATTGCAGCCCAGCCATATGAAGTGGTAAAACTCCTATCCAGATCTTCTCGCGCAAGAGTGAGAAAAATTAAATCCCAGGAAAGTGAGGAGGCCAATACTAATACTATTCCCCAACCTACCCTCTCACAAATCTTAAATATCCTGCAAAGTATGCAACAAAACAGCCAAAATGGAAGCAGGAGATGCTTTAATTGTAAAAGAATCGGGCACCTTCAAAGGACCTGCAGAAGCAGGGCTCGTTCTATAAATTAAGAATCAGGAAATGAGGCGAGAAAGTCACACAGATCAATCTCCCGAAGCCCGCCACAAAGTCCAACAAGAAATAATTACAGCAGCTATGCGTCCCGAAGAAGCCGAACATCCTCACTTGGTCGGCTTTCTAGCAATAACCAGGAAGTAGAGCATCGTAGAGGCCGTCTCCATAGCAACGCAGACATTCTCTCCAGGCAACTCTGTTTAGAACGAAAATGCCGGTTCAGTAAAGGGCCCGGAGAACGAGAAGAACCGGTTGATAAAGTAACTCTTCGGGCAACCACTATGAAGCCAGAGGGCGACGAAAAAGAAATCACCCTTGAAAGCCTGAGAGAGGGGCAGAAGAAAGACAATGACTTGAAGGTTGTCCAAGAATGGCTCAAAAATAAAGTAACACCTCTTGGCAAGAGATAGCCAAATACAGTGGAGATATTAAAGGGTACTAGACTCAGTGGGATTCCCTGTATCTTCACGATGGCCTATTGTGCCGGAAGTGGGAGAGCCTCGATGGAGTACATGTAGCTCGCCAAGTGGTACTGCCGAAATCACATGTATGAAATGTGTTGAAGGAGCGGCATTGCAGCTGTTCGGGAGGACATTTTGGTACAAAAAGGCACGAGTTCAGGAAAGTATTTATTGGGCCAATTACCGACGGGATAAAGCGGATTGGTGTAAAAAATGTGATGTATGCAATGCCAGAACGAAGGTCTACAGATTCGCTAGGGAACGTCTGAAAGCCAACATCGACTAAGCAGAAGCTAGAATCGATATGCGTGCCACCGAAAAACATTTTGAGAGTGGCGACCCAGTATGGCTGTGCTGTGCAATCCCAAGCGCCGAGAAGGACTCTGTCAGAAACTGCAACGGAACTAGGAAGGCCCCTACACCGTTCCTGACAAAAATCAACGACCTACCTACATAAATTTATTAAAATATGCAAAGTGCAAAGTAGTTTTAGGAAATAGGCCCCAGGTCCCAGTAATCAAGTTATTTGGGACGTTACCCATCACCCTACAGTGTGCTGCGGGAAAATATTCGAGAAATGTCGAGAAATATCAAACGTCAAAAAACATTTGGACGTTCGGGAAGGTTCTAGGAGGTTAAAGGCCAATGCCAGAATAGGCAGAAAAATATTCTTTGTATAGATTTAAATGAGACAATGCCCACTAGACCGGCCCGGTATCGACCAACACCATCCTCATTTGAATCTATACAAAAAAAAATCAGGTCTGGGCACGGTCATAGTATGGTACGGTATAGTGGGCATAGACCTTTAATCGAGCTGTCGGTGATCCTGACGTTAGTCAGTCAATTTTACGATAGACGTTATACGTTAATGTTATCAGTTGAATTATTGTAAAAGTTGAGTTGAAATAAATTGAGATACCAAAAACCAGCGTAACAGTATCTATCTATACCATTTCTAGTATTATTAAACAGTTTAGTAAAACTTTTTTATACAGTTAATTTGATATTAGTGTCTATTTTGCTAGTCAATATACTTTGATTTTACTTATATCACTTCTTACACCTATATTCTTAACATTTTTTGATGGAATATGTATATTTCAAAATTTATTTGTTTTATATTCATTAAAATTTCAAAGTTTGTGTTACAGGAAAACATTACATCTATTTCCCATTACGCCCCAGGGAACGCTATCTTGTAATCAAATTTAATTTGTTTTCCTTGTATACGAATATTTTCTTAATGAACCAAATAATAAAATTTTAATATTTTGATGTCATAGCTATATTCATTAATTTTGCGCAAGTAATCAACATACTAAAATAAGACAAATAGACAATATTTAAGGTTTTAAGAATGTTTTTCATTTTAATCACCCTCGAGCATATACGAGTAAATATCATGACAATTAATAGTTAAATAGCTAAATTTCAAGATCTTGTAGGATTTCGTGTTAGACATAATTTCTAGTTTACAATGATATAATTTATTGAATGACGGTCTCAGCGTTTTAAAATTACTTTGAAACTAATTTAGATCGGCTTCAGCCTTGCTCTTTTGCAGTGAACGCTGAAAGATCCATTCATATAGATTGATGGTACCATTTGACTTACAGGTGTGAAAAAAACCAAACATCATCGACATGAAATGCATATAATTTTCTCTTAAATTTAAATCTAAAAATATAAATAAATGTTTTAATTTTCTGTTAACTTTTATGGATAACAACGGAAAGGAATAAAGGATGAGGCACTAGTTTATTAATATTATCATTGTAGAACTTCAGATTGAAACACCCTGTAAAAGTGTATCAATATCAATAAAGATAATACGTATTCCATTAACGGTGCACTGATATGCTCATCCGCTTATATGGAATTCATTCTCGTTATTATCTATCTCTGCTCTCGCAGTTTCATCGAAGGTAAACTAAATATCGACATCGACTGCGGCATATCGACATTGCATTGTTTTGTCGACGAAAGGTCACTTACGTTTAAAGTTTACCTCTTCAACTGTTATTAAGTATTTGAAAGTATTTCGAGTCAAGTGATTGCTTAATGTCAATTCAAATCTAGATGTATACGTAGATATAGCCGATCGCATCCTTTTGTTATAAAAAATGTTTTATAGCTTTATATGTAATTTATTAGTTACGTCATAATATTCAGTTACACCAAACATCCTATTGATCACGTTTACAGAATACTATTATAAAGTTTATTTAAGATTAGAGGATAAGAAAGTTTCCTTAGGTACGATTGTTTTCTTAATCCAGAAATAAGTATGAGTTTTTTACGATTAGTACAATTTTAGCAATTCAGCAGTACCCAGTAGAACATGTATTAAACCCTATTTTGAAAATCGACCCTCAGAAAAATCTATTTATAATATAGTATACAGAAATTCTAAACTACATGATCTGCTTAAGATATCAAAACACTAGAACGTAAATGTC